GGTTTGGAAATGCATTAACACACGTTCAACATGTTTGCACAGGAACCGGATTATAAGCACCCTGGCTCCAAAACAATAAAGCAATTACCCTAAAGCTGGTGCTCTCCGAGTTGTCATTAATTCAATCCACTCCACGCGGATCAGCACAGGCTTTGCGCGGCTCCCCACAACGCCTTCCGACACAAATGTTCAAAGGGCGGTATTGCACATGCCACCCCGAGTTTCCCATAAGTGTCAAACTTCATGCACTTGAATATCCCCCCAAATCATAAACACTCTACTTTGGAGAGGAAAAGATATGCAGCAGCGGCCCTGGTATTCCCTGGCATTGCCATTTCAGTTTGGGTTTGAACAGTTTTTTGCCGGGAAGCTTCAATGAACTATCTGTTCCATATTATGAAATACCAACTCACATTTTTTGTCAAATATTATTTGTCAGATGCCATTTGCTGCAAAATCCAGAATTCACTCCCAGCTTGAACACACAGCTAGTGCCAAATGGCTTGCATAATAGCCGTGGTCGTACACGGGATCATTTGCAGTGAACAAACCCCCCTTCCTCTATAAACTGTTTCAGGGATTGGAAAGAAAAGCATGTGAAGCTCTGGAATAAATAAAGCACCATGCCTCAAGCTGCCCAGTACAAAGGACCTTGCATGCTGGGAGAACAGGCTCAAAATGACCCAAGAGCAAGTTCCCACTTCACAATTTGCTAAGAATGCTTCCGAGAAAGGATTTTAGATGATGTGGGTAAATCTCACTATTTCTGACCTGCAGTAGAAAGAATCAGCTCACTTCTTGAAGGACCAGCATCCCCAGGCACTGCCTCTATGCACATGCCCACCTGCACCTGGAATCCAGGGTTCAAGCCGCAGACATCATGGGTGTCTCCTCCCCGCTCCTGGTGAGGTCACCTCCTCAACTCCACTCCATGTTGATCTGGGTTCCATCAAGTTGGAGCAATTTGAGTGTGTAAAGCCAAATGTGTTATCATTTTCACCACAAATTAACAGTTTCTATGTAAATATTGGTATTTCCTCACCCCATGAAGGCGAGAGGAGGCAAAATGGCACCGGCGCATTTGATTTAAACTAATTAAAAGCAGAGGGTTGTGCAATTCAATATATTGATTTTACCAGTGGGACTTAAATCTTGTATAATAAGTGTACACAGCTGCAGTGCTCACCACCACTATGCTGTACAGGCTAATCCGCACAATCCTTCTGACAATATCATGACAGGTCCCACACATCCCTGCCTGTGCCCTAACCCTGGTGACAGCACCAGAGTGCATTAAGGCGAAGCCTTGCAGCAGCTTGCCAAGAAACCAGTGTGCTGACAGACCCCCAGCTAGGACTGAAGAGTCAGCGTGAAAGAATGAATGTAGCCAGAAGCTTGGTGCAAAGGGCTCCTCATTCAAAATATCCAGCCGGTTACACGGATGGGCAGGCGAGGAAGGGTGGAGATGGGCGAGACTTAGGACACGCTGATTCTTGCAATGCGCCAAATATGACCTTACCGAATAGGGAGGAGATATTAAAGCGATAGAAGTGATCAATCAACTTAGATGGGACTCTCCCTGGAATGAAGTCATCACTTGTCTCTAAGTTCAGCGGACATGTGATATTCACTCACATCGCTGGCATTCCAGTGGTCAGGGGATCGTGCACCAGCTGTGTTTATCTCAGCAAAGGCTTGACAGCCTACTATGCCATGGTAAAGCCCCAAACTGTAGCTCGAGAGGGCTGCATCTCAAAAGTGGTTTCTTTTCTCTGCACATTTAGGGAATCATCCCCCTTCCTGCCCTGAAACTGATTTGCAACTGGGCCATGTCTCTTACCCCTTCCATGGGGACTGCTCCACAATCGAATGACAACCCCGGAACAAACCCCAAAAATAGCCACTCAAGCTGTCATCGAGGGCTCAGCCTTACCCTGCCTTGATTCCAGAAGGAAAACACATAGAAGATCGAACAAGTTCAAAGCCAGGTCACATCCATGCTTGGGAAAAGTGGAGGAAAATCTTTGATTTATATAAGCAGGAAAATGAGGTTTAAAAGAAGTGATTTTGAAAGGGTTACGAAAAACACAGCTGTTGGTGCACTCCTATAGCAAAGGCGCTCTGCAGAAAGAAAGAAAGAAAGAAGGGGGGAGCTGTGTGACATCTATATTAACCTCTGGCTGCTCACCAGTGAAGGCCGGGGCTCCAAGTGCTGGAATGTGGAACAGCCCCTTCCAAATTTTAACACAAGCCAGGTTACAGCTGCAGATGCCTGCAGTCCACGCTCCCCTTTGCGAAGCACTCCCTGAAGGAAATTTAAAAACTGTAACAGAATCTTTTTCTAATACTCTACAGTGGTAGAGCCTGCTCTTGAGGGGCAATGGGAGAGGTCTTAATGCCAAACACTTGTCAACAAAAAGGACAGCCAGATGGCAGAAAACAAAAATCCACTGCACGGCCCTCTCCCTACTCTTCGGCTACATTAACAAAAGCCACTGTTATATGCTGACTCCAATAATGATAGCTTTCCAACTTTCTCTTTTTTTAAATTTAGCATCAAAGATTCAACAAATTTCATGCCTTCATTACCTGGACCAGAGATACACATGATGACTTCCACTCCCTACTGCCAGCCGGCTATTTTAGAAGATTCTAACAGCTTCCCAAAGAAAGAATGGTGACAGACTATGGCTAGATTCAGTCTGCAGAATCGCCATGGCCTGGGGATTATTTAAGAGAGGGTCGCTGTTTTGAATTCCAAAATTAAGTCTACACAGAGGAATCAGGGTTGTTAATCCAAACCAGTTTACAAATGTTGCCATTGAACTTAAGGGGCCCAGGTTGGGAAGATGGGAGTCTCACTTGGCCGCTCAGCTCACGTTGCACGGGGCTTCACGGCACAGGCTGGGCTTTGTCACACGGTGAAGTCTTTGGTCCTCATTCCCACCACCTGGTTTTGTCGTAAATTCCCCTCTAGCTTCCCCTCTAGTTTAGATCCCGCTCAGCCTGGCAAAAAACTTGAATTCCAAGAACGACTTATAGGAACAAAAACTAGTTTGGCGGCAGACAGAAGGAAGCATAAACGCACCAGGTCTGCAAAAGCCTTCAGAATTCAGGCAGGGGTCCCCCACACTCATAGGCCCACCTCCCTACAAGACAGCAGAAGTATGCAGTGCAGGGGGAAGGGGCAGCAAAGGCTGCCAAGATCCTCACCCATGCCCCCCCATCCCACCATAATAATAAGTAATAGTTTCATATGTGCAAGTGACATTTTCTCACTCTTATGTAAAGTGTGAGAATAAACTTGCCTTTAGAAAACTTCAAATACTACAGATCAACATGATTGCAATCCAAGGAAAAACAGCATAGCAGTGTTCCTTCTCAGCAAACTCAGTGTCCAGACAAGTCTCCTCACCTCCCCCACCCCTCTCCAACCCTACTGCCACCCCCAAGTCCCTCCTATGGAGAGATTCCAAGCTACAACAGAACAGAAGGGACAGGCAATTTATTCCTGTGCTGCTGCTTAGCAGAAATTAAAGGCCAACATTAGAAGCATCTACAGGAAGTGTCTCACCAAACTGTAGTCCAGGTCTTCACCTAACTAATGACCTCGAGTTTAGGGACAGAGAGAGAAAGAAAACAAGGTCAATACGCTCTGTTAAAAGCCACTCTGCCATCTAATTTGGAGTGATGTTCCAGAAAGCTAGACCTGAGAAAGTCAGGGTCCCACAAAGCCCAAAGCCAGCCTGACTGATTAAGAGGCTCAGACAAGCCGGTCTTTGTCCTTTCAAGATGAAAGAAATGGATTGAAAGGTGTGTGTACAGCCAGAGGAGGAAAACCACCCAGCTGTGGCCTTCCCAAACAAGTCCCAGCTTGCTCCTGCCGCCATGGGGGGAGCAAACAGCCCACACCAGAGTTCCCAGAGGCACACTTTGAGCAATCTGGGCTTTCTCTGGGGGAGAGGGAGCCCCTGGGGTCTAGGCACACTGCTGGCCCATAGCAATGGGGTGGGGTGGGGGTGGTGGTGGTGGGGATTGCTCTCATTTGCAGGGCCTTCTACAGAAGCCAGAGATTACAAATACCTTTTTAATGACCCCAGCCAAGCTCTGAAGGCAGCTGCTGGGACCTGCACATTCAGTGGGAGTACGGGGTACCCAACAGAACAGATGATGCCATAAATCCCCCACCAGAGAAAGGGCCCTCGCTAACACCAGGCTTCAGGAGGGCGGCAGAGCTCTGCATTTATTATTTATGTGTATGTATTTGGAATTTTCCTTAAGTTTTTGGTATAGGTAATAAATACACATTGTTTAAAAAAAAATCACAAAGACAGAAGTGCAGACAATGAAAAATCAGAGCCCAGCTCCCACTAAGCCCCAGCTGTGCCCCTCTCTACCTCTCAGTAAAATCTCCCATTCCTGGTGTCTTCCTCCAGGAGGACACGATGATATACAAGCACGCAGGCAGCCCACTCATCTGCACCTTGCTGCTTTCCACCTCATACATCTTGGAGATTGTTCTAAATCAGGTCATATGCTGCTGCTTCCCTCTTAACTGGCTGCTTAGTGAAATTTAAACTTTCTTGAAGGTGTTTTGGTATCTAAAGCTCCCACCCCTCGCTCACTGAAGCTTGGGTCACCAGTTGAATTCGGTCATTATTAAATACAGACAATGGCCTCCCGGGAACTCCAGGGACCTTATCAGGAGGGGGAAGCTTGAAGGCAGATCAGCACTTCCCCGAGCCCCCAGTCCACGCCCCAGGTGCCCAGCCTGGGGCTTCAGTATCATTATTTCCATGTTGACAAAGGGCCCGTGGGTGTGAGTTTGCTGTCTTGACTTGGTTCGGGTTTTCGCAGCAAGCTACACAAGTAGAATGAAAGCGGCTCAGGAAACAGCGCTATCGGGGCGTGTTATCTCGGAAACCAAATATTTGATCATCAGTCCCGCAGCGCGCGGCCGGGGGTTAGTTTGAGCAAGTCTGGAGAACGTGCGCGCACAGATGGAGGGGGAGCTCTCAGGCCCTCGCCACAGCCCTAGCCTCGTGTCCCCGGGTCGTCGCAGCTTCAGTCGGAAACCGGGACCCCCAGCCGCCCCCGCGGCGTCTGCTGAGAGATCCCGCGCCACCCAATCTCCAAAACCCGTGGTTTGAGCGCCACACGTGATAAATGCTGAAAATGGATTCTGCCGGCCCGGGACCTATTATTAAATATCTAAAATAGAAAACTAGGGGCAGTGGCTCACGCCTGTAATCCCAGCACTTTGGGAGGTCGGGAGTTCAAGACTAGCCTGACCAACATGGCGAAACCCCGTTTCCACTAAAAATACAAAATCAGCCGGGCGTGTTGGCCCATGCCCGTCGGGAGGCTGAGGCCGGAGAATCGCTTGAACCCTGGTGGCGGAGGTTACAGTTAGCCGAGATCGCACCATTGCACTCCAGTCTGGGCAACAAGAGCGAAACTCCGTCTCAAAAAAAGAAAGAAAACTAGCAATGGCAGCGTTTCTTCCCCAGCTCCAGCTGAGAAAGAACAGGGCATCCGGCGGCCCGGGGAGGGGCCCCAAGGCGCTCAGAGCGCGCGGCACGCTAAGGCGGGCGCACCGCGAGGGGACAGGTAGGGCTTGTCTGGGGAAGGGAGTGCGACGCCCGCGATGCCAGGGCCAGAGGGGCTGAGAGGGGCCCAGGAAGGGCGGGAAGGCAGCCTCGCCGGGAAGGGCCCTTTACAGTCAGGTAGCGCGGGCTGCGCCGGCCCGGGACAGCTCACATGACCGAGCCCCGCGCTTTGAAATGAGCCGCGGCCCGCCAGGCGCCTGGGGCCCCAGAGATGCGGCCAGCGGCGTAACATGGAGGGGGTTTCAGAGGGTTCCTCCTTCCCAGTAACCCCCAAAGGCCCGCAGAGCCCAGCGCGCCCGACCTGGGGGCGCACACAGCTTGGGAGCCATAGGGCGGTGGGTGGGAGATCCTCGGGCGGGCACTGCGATTTCAGCCAAGAGCAGAAAGCTGGGCGGGCTGTACGGAAGAAGCAGCTCCCTCCCTCCCGGTCCCAAAGTGACCCGAACAGAGACGCGTACTCGCGCCTGCCTTACTCACCAAGGTTGACGAAGCTCATGACCATGTCGGCGTCGGTGAGGAAGTGGCTATCTTGCAGGCTGGCCAGAGGGGGGCCCTGGGTGCTGAAGACGGCCTTGTAGGGGTAGGAGAAGCCCTGGCCCGGCCCGCTGCCCTCCTCCACCGCCATGGCGTTGTACAGGTCCAGCATGAACATGGGCGCCGAGTTGTGCTTGCCCTGGAGGTGCGGGCGCGGGCGGTGGGGCAAGCCCAAGATGGAGAGGATCTCGCGCTGCATCTCCCGCCGCTCTTGGCTGCGGAGACGCCGGTGGATGAAGCTCGAGTGCACCTCGTTGTCCAGGCTGAAGTCGGCCAGGGCGGAGCGCAGCAAGAACAGGGGTGCCCAGAGCGCCACGAAGCTGTGCGGCGCCGCGGCGCGCAGCGAGCGCACGTGCATCGCGCCGGCTCTACGCGCGACCCGGGCTCCGGCCTCTGGGCCCGCACCGCCCCAGGTGGCAGAGGGGGCAGGCGGCTGTCCGCGCCGCTCCGTCACTTGCAGCAGACGTGCCCCGCTGCGCCCGCGCCAGACATGGCCCCTCCCCGGCCGGCCGCGCTCTGCTGGGACCCCCGCCCCCTGCTCGGTGCTGGCCCCGGGCCCCTAGTCCCGCACTCGCCCGGGCGCACCGCAGGGCTTGGAAAGCAGCCCCGGCGAGCGAGGAGGCGAGTGAGGAGGCGGGCGCGGGTGGGAGGAGCAGCCAGCAAACCTACGAGTCCAGAGAGTGAGCGCCGGGGAGGCAGCAAGAAGGCGGGCGGGCGGGCGAGCGCTCCTTCTTCCCGCTCCTCTCGTGCTACCGCCCTCGGGCGGCGGCGACCCACCCTCTTCCAATCTCTGGCTCGGAGAACAGGGTCTCCAGGACACTCTCCCAAGCCCTGGGCGCCCTGGATCGCACTAGAGGCCGCCTCAGGAGCCCCAGAGTGGTGCGCGCTGGGGCCTGGGCAGAGGAGGAGGAGGAGGAGGAGGAGGAGGAGGAGGAGGAGGAGGAGGAGGAGGAGGATGGACTTCCAGGGGCCCCTCCCGCGCCGGCGGCCTCCCACCTGCCCTCGGCCCCGCCCTCCCCACAGCTGTGCCCAATGGATTCATTCATTCCCTCTAGAGCGCTTGACAAATGTTTACCGACTGCCCACGGGGTGCCCAGAGCCTGGCGGGACTTCGCTGGGTTGCGGCGGGAGGAATCCCAGCCGGCCCTGCCCTCTTGGCACTCGCGGTCCGCACCAGGAAGGCAGCCAGAGCGGGACGGGGGGCTGCCGACCGCGATGGGAAAAGTTAGGGGAGCCCGGAGGTGGCGCAGAAATAGAAGGCTTCCTGGAAGCGGTGACCCTTGAGCCGGTCTTGCCCCTCTGTCCCGGTCTCCTTTTAAGCCGGGCACGCTGGCCCCTCCGCGCCTTCCTGAGCCAGTTGTCAGCTAGTCTCTGCGCTCGCCAGTCCTTGGGCCTGGACCTCTCCCCGATTACCACCCCCCGCCCCGCAGCGGGCGCCGCTTTCTCCTCCCAGAAACCTCCAAGACCTGCCAAGCTCAGGTCGCTTCCTCGCCTCACCCCACGCACATCTGAGTTATTTCCTGTCCTTTCTCTTGCTGTCTGGAATTACTGTTTGAGTTACCCGGTGCCTTCTTTATTGCCTTCTCACGCCCGCTAGACACCCAGTGCCCTGGGGCCGGGCTCTTATACGCGTAGTGCCTTGAACCCTGAACCGCGCAGCCACAGGGGCTGCACAATCAGGAGTTGTTGAGTGAATAAGTGAACTTCGTATGAGCCTCGGGGTTCTTCCCCACCTCCTCCTCTTTGGGGCCCTGTATCTTTCCAGCCACCCCTCAGCCTGAGACCAGGCACTCCAGCCCCACCACGGGGGCTTCCCATCAGCCTCCCCATAGCAGTGCATCCTCTTCCCCTCTGAGGGTCTGTGCCTGAGACCTCCCCACCAGCCTCCTCTCCTGCCTCTCCTCATCCATTCATTCTACAATCAATAAGGAGCCATGCACGTGGTCACAAGGGGTCCCCAGACCACTCAGAACCCACGGGTCCTGAGTGGGACCTGCCAGTGTGGGATCTCAAGGGAATTACTGCACCCAGAGTGGCAATGAGGGCATCAGGGTAAAATTTCATCCCTGTCTCCTTCCCCTCCTGGGGCTGGGTGAGAGAGTTCTTCCCCAGAGGGCCCTTGGGATGAACAAGGAAGGGCTGGGGTTGGGGAAGGGGGTTTTGTCTGGGAGGGGCTCTGGCTAAGCCTCAGTTGGGGCTGTCCTCCCTGGAGCAGGAGAGCTGGGGAAGAGAATTATGGTCTTCTACAGTTTTCTGGAGAAGTAGTTTGGCCAAGTGGCCCTCTGGGTCTCCCTTGGGGGCTTTTGGACAAGATGGCAGCCTGAGGGGCCACATGGGTGGAGAAAGGAGAGGCCAGAGGCCAGGAAACAAGCAGAAAAATGCCAGCCTGCAGGTAGGTCCTGGCCATTTACACACAGACCCCAGGCTGTGAGATGGAATAGGTCCTGAGCCCCCATGCCAGGGATGGGCCTCTGCCTACCCACCAGTCAAGGCCCTCCAACCACCCCCACCATCTGCTCTTCATCCATTCACTCTTTCCTTCAACAGACAAATGTGGAGCATAGGATATCAGGCAGGGGAGCTGTGGGGCCCGCAACCTGGACAGCTGTACAGGGCCCGCCCCCCGCTCTCAAGGGTCCTCACTTAGTTTCCTGCTCCAGGGTCACCATATGCAGTTCTAAATCACCTGTGAACAAAGTCTCCCATGCCTCATATTTATTTTGCACCTGGCCCAGATATTATTTGGCCAGTCCCGGGGCCAAGCACAGTGCTGGGTGGGAAGACACGGCAGTGAGCGAACGTGGCCACATGGCAGCCTCCATCAAGAAGCCAGCCTCCAAGTTCAGGAAGCAAAGCAAGAGCCTTAAATAAGATTTGGGGACTGAAGGGGAGGCAGGTCTTGTCCATCACTCTCCCTGGGAATGATTCAGAAGCCAGGCAGAGGAGGACATGCAGAAGGGAGAAGGAAGAGTGGGCATCATGTGTGCAGGAATCCTACCCCAGGGCCACCGGGGAAATTGCAGGAGTGCCACAGTCATCCAGGGTCCATCTGAGAGTGTGCAACTGGAGAACCTGGGTCATATCAGCCTGTGATAAGTGACAGGCAGTGTGGACGGTGGGGGGCAGATAAACAGGGTGAGGTGGTGGAGGGTGGGGAGGGCGCTTTTGGAGGAGATGCCACTGACCTGAGTCCTGAAAGACAAGAAAGAGACAGGGAAAGGCATCCCAGGTGAAGGAACAGCAAGTGCTTGAGCCCTGCAGAGCAGGGGACAGAAACCAGCCTCTGTCCTCAGCCCTGCCCACGCCTTCCAGCACTGGCTTGCCAGGGGCAGGCTATGCCACCTCCAGTGCCAGCAGAGAGAACGGAGGTCAATTTCTTCCACAGTCTGAAACAATAAGGAGCCAGAGCATCCCTGCTCTGAAGCAGCAGTCTCTGCTCTTTATCTACTCTCTAATCTTTTGGAGGGATCTTCATTAGCAGGTGAGGCTGGGGGCAGGGGAAGCAGGTCTTGGTGCTACAATTTACATATGAAACAACTGACCTGTTGAGTCTAAGCCAGGATTCTAGTTTACCCTTTTCGGTGCATCTCACCTGAGCCTATTCTGAGCCTGGCACACAGCAATTGCTCAATTAGTACCTGTTGAATGAATAATAATAAGCACAGCCTATACCTAAAGAGACCAGTTGACTGAGGGCTGACCGTGCAGGCACTGGTGCAGGTACCAAGCCTAGCTGTCTCCCAGATCCCTCACCCCAGCAACTCTTCCTCTGAGATGCCATCTTTTCTCATGCAAGATGAAGAGACAACATGCCCTTCATATCCAAGCCTCAAGAGATAAGGTTTCCTCTGAACTCCCACAACCCCCCATTTGGCCTTATCTTTCCTGTGATCCATGCTGGGGGAGGGGTGGGTCTTTCTTTTCCCTGTTTCCTCCCCCAGAGTCATCCCCAAGACTGCACCAGGCCCTCAGTAAATGCCGAATGAATGAAAACGAGCAAGCAAGAAATATTCGTCTGGGAGTGCATCCGATGCCAGTTTGGGAACTGAGGCCATCACCAGGAAAAGCTTTGAGATTGCAGAGGTCAAGTCTTGTGTGGAGGGGGCAGCCTGGGCCCTGGAGCCCGCCCAACCCCCATTCACACCCCAGCTCTGCCCTTCTAGCTGTGCACTATGGGCAAGGGACTTAACCTCTCTACACCTCAGTTCCCCTTCTGTAAAATGGCGGGACTGATAGCGCCTGTCTCTGGGATGGCTGTGAGGTTTGAGAAGTTAATTCATGGAAAGGGCTTTGCAAATACCTGGGGCACAGAGAAAACCCTTGATAAATGTTATTATGTTACCATCTGGATGAAACAGAAAATATGGTAGTAGGAAATTCTCCTAAGTTACAAAATAACAACAAAACTTTTCATGATGATCTGCTTTTTGACTCAGCAGAAAAAAGCAAATGTATCCTGACTCTGAGAGCGAGAGCAAAAGTACTGGAGCAAAAGAGGGAGTGAAGTGGGAGGGGACATTCGAGATGAAAGGGTCATCCCTGCATTCCGATCCTGGATCCTCACATTGTGCCCAGCTCCATCGCAGGCCAGCCAGGGCTTAGGGATTTCCCTGGGGCCTATCTCATTTCCCTAGCAGCTAGCCCCCAACCCACACACCCCTAGTTGTGGTTCCCCTGGCCAGGGCACCCAGCACTGGGCTCCAGGACGGTAATCCGATCTGCCCCAGTCTGCTCCACACCTGGGGCCGCCTTTGCCTGGATGAAAGACGGCCTGGAATTGTGAGGGGTGTTATTGTGTCGGGTGGCCCTGGCCCAGTGTCCACTCCCCTCGCCTGCTGGCCTCCCCGAGCTGGGCCAGGAGTTTCATTTCCTAAATCATCAGTCACATCTTGCTGAAGTGATTTTGACCAAGTCAGCATGTCTCTCCAAGGCAGTGAAAAGAAGAAAAGAATTGTGCTGACACACACGTTGTTCAGTGAGGTGGGGACCTCATCTTCATCTGCAGAACTCTTCCACCATCTGCCCTAGAGGAAGCGCAGCAGGCCCAGGGGCTCCCTTTAGGCTGCTCTCTCTGTCCACACCACCTGGCTAAGGCCAGATGATCTGGATCTCCAACCCCAGCAAGATATAGAGGGCCAACTGCAGCCTTGTGCGCAGGCTCGAAAATCCTTGTGTGAAAAGAGGTGGACTCTGCAGAGGAAATTATTAGAGCGCACCTGTAGTGAAATTTTGTCTCCCATGAAGATCTCTCATTGCACGGGAGGCTTGGACTTCTCATGCTTGCCCACTCTGAGATTTTCTTTGCACAACTTTAAAAGCAGCAGAATAAGAGACTAACCTTCCATGAATCTCAAGTACACATGGCGGTGGCCACAGTTCCAAATGGAAAACACAGACAGACACACGCACTCTAGAGAAAGCTGATAGCATGCAGGACTCCTAGGATCTGGAAGCCAGCTAGTGGGAAGCTGTGGTTTTGTTTATTATTGTCAGGACTGTTATTTCTTCCTTGATTAGAGGAAGTCTGGTTTGGTTTTGAGCACTAACTGTCCTTGGTTCAGCTTTATGGGTAGCCCTTTCCTCCTTTCAAAATGTGACAGGGAGTGGCCTGCCTATCACCTGTTGCAAACACTTGGCTCTGCCAGACACCTGCTAAGCCTGCACTGCCTGAGTCCACATCACCGGCATCTCCTCAATGCTTGGAGAGGCTAGTTCTGCTCCTCAGATTGCAGAGAAGGAGGACCGACGATCTGACAGTAACTTGCCCAAAGTCAGAAAGCCAATCCGTAATGGAGCCAGGATCCAAAGCCACATCCGTCTACACAACCCAGGCCTTTAAGCATCAGTGCATGTTTAGTGACCTGGGAGCAGCCCCTTTCTTCCTTGTTTTAACCTAAAGCAACACTTCCCCAACCCAACTGTGCACTTGAATCCCCTGGGGGTCTGTTAGAACATAGATTTCCACACAGCCAGTCTGAGTGGGCTGAAATTCTGCACTTCTAACCAGTTCCCAGCGGCTCGGAGGCTGTGGTCTTCAGGCTATATATTGAGGATCGAGGCTTTAGATTTCTGAAGTTATAGCTAACAAGTTGGAGCTTCAAATTAAAAAAACTTCAGTATCTGTGATTCCAGGTGTCTTTTTAAATTAACTTATTACTTCTCCCAACTACATTATATGATTATTATTTTTATTATCCCCATTTCACAGATAAGGAAATTGAGGCTCAAATACTTGAGGGAATCTACCCGAAGCCACATGGATGGTGAGTGAATGATAAAATCAGAATTCTGACACAGGCTATCTTGTTCCAGGTCCTGAGTGCTTAGACACCGAGGAACACCAAAGCACAGGGTTTGTCTTAGGCCTGTACGGACTTCCCAGTGCCCAGACCTCAGTGTTGGAGAAACATACCTCTAAGACCCTCTTCAATTCCTCCTTTATTGCAGAAGTCAAGCACTCAAAAGCTAGCAGGCACCAGCCAGGTAACATACATACAGAGATGTAATGTGAGGGTCAAGGAATAATTTATTCCTCTTAATTCAGTGATTCTTCCGCCTTAGCCTCCCAAGTAGCTGGGATTACAGGTGTGCACCACCATACCTGCTAATTTT